ACACACACACGCACGCATGCACACACCCCACACAGATCTGTGCAGATGCCTCCAAAGGAATGTTCAAGAAGCCAGGACCACCAGGCGCCTCAGGGAGGGAGCTGGGGCAGGAAGGAGGGGCGCCACGGGAGCTGGTTTTATTTGTGCCATTTTGTACCCCTGGGGTTTCTTCCCCTCTGGCTCCCCACCCCGCCTTCCTTCAACATCCATCCATTGTCTATTCAAAAACATGATTCTATACATTTACGCATCAATTCGTTTCCAAGAAATGAAGTGTGTGCCCCGAGCTCCCCTCCGTTCCCCGAACCAGGGCCCTCCTTTCTGGCCTCCGCAACCTCCGCCCGCGGTCAGGCCACTCACTCCCCTAGACGCCCAGGCTGGGCACCCAGGAGGCTGCTTCCACCTGGAGCTCTCCCTGGAGCTGGGCCTCGAAGAGGAGCAAAAGTCCGCGCTTCCCCCAGAGCTGTGAGCAGATGCACCCCGAAACCGAGTACACCGGGGTGGGGCACCCCGGCTCCGCCACGACCCACCCCAAGCTGCAGGGGAGCCGCTGGCCTGCCGGCGGGGGCGGGCGCCACCTGCTGGGCATAGGTGAGAAGCGCGTCCGGTGCCGGCGTGGGCGTCGGTTCCTGGGAGGAAGGCAGCGCTCGGGCCACGCAGCCCCGGGGCGGGTGGGTCCTGGGCTTCTGCGGGGGCCGCAGCACCCTCCTCCCCACAAGTTTCTCTCAACAGCGGCCTCACGGTGCTGTTCACAGACGTGACATCTTTATATGTCAGAGGTGTGTCAGACACTAAATCTCTATTATCTCCCCAAACGCCGACCAAGTGCCAGCCCCTGGGCCGGGCACTGGTGACATGGTGGCCAAGAAGGCGGCCGTGGCCGGCACGGGCCCTGGAAGCGAGAGGCTGAGACCGAGCCACTTGTCACACAGGAGCCCTTAAACCACAAACATAATCGTGCTTAATGGAGAGAGAGTGTAACATTGCCCCAGACGCCCTCCCCTGGAGCTCTGCAGGGTAAGAAGGGTATGATTGCTGTTTACAGAGGTGGTGTGGCGCACACAGCAGGGGAAGGTGGAGCTGAGACAGGACGCTCCTGTGGCTGGGGGGCAGGAGGGCTCAGCGTCCCCAGGAGACCCCCTTCTGGGCTGCAGAAACAGCCTCTGACTCCCTCTCTTAGTAAGGCCCCAGGGAACAG